AAATGCTTCTTTCTTTTGAAATATGCCTCATAAGTACCTGTAGATGATCACCTGCAAAGCCAAAACTGAAAATTTACTGCTGGCAGATTTGCAGACTACAAATTCTCCATTTGAGCCCAGGCTGGAAATATATGATCCTCTGTACAGAGAGAGATTCTTGTAGATTTTGTTTTTGGCAATCTTAGCTCTGAGGAGGACAAAAAAAATGTGGGTCCTTTTCTCAGAGTTTAAACAAAATACAGTCTTAGCAAATATTAAAAAGAATTTACTGCTGTACTGATTTAATCTTGTACTTTTTTTTGCACTTCATACCTTTATATAAATTCGATTTTATTTTGGTAAAGGGAACTTATAAACTGTATATTTGAGACTAAATACAGACAGTTTTGCTACCAAGATACAGACAATTTGGAATTTTTATAAGCTTATATGAATTTTCTTTTTTTATTGGTTTCACTCAATGTAAGGCAGTAAAACCACTAAGACACAAGGGTTTACAGGGTGTTGAAGAATTAAGAACAGAAACATTAATAATGAGAGGAAAGTGAAATTGAGTAATCAGGAGGACAGTAGATAGCGATTGATATTTGGATTTAAATTTTTGCAGATTAAAGTTGGCTAGAAAGCATGGAGCTGAAAATGAGTTTCACAAGTGAGAAGTGTAAGAAAAGAAATTCTTAGCATAGAATTTACCGTTACATCTAGTCAGTTCAATAGTAAATTGATGAGATCTTGATGCCAGTCTAGTACTGTGCTTACATTTTTAAAGTCTAGGTACCATAATGAAGAGCTATATTTAGTTGTAGCATGTGGCACAAGGCCGAGTTTAATGTGGGTAATTCGAGCCTGTAGGCCCAGCCAAAAATATAGCCTTCGAATCCGCCTAGGCGGGTTCGAGAGCTGTCAACCTCCCCAAACGAAACCTTGCCCTTCGGCAAAGCCTCGTCCGGGCTCCTCCCTGCCAAAGCAGAGAGTTAGACAGACGGCGGTTGCTGTAAGTTTGATACAGCTATTATAGATTAATAATTAGGTGATACAGGTACCATAATGAAAAACTCATCTGAACAATTACTATGAAAGTATTTATAGAAAAGTTACAGAAAGGTAACCTTACAGCAATGGGAAAGTGAGTGGAGCTGAGGTGCTAGATCAGGACTAATAATATTGCTGATTCTTCTTTGGATTTTATCAAGAAGCTCAAGGAAAATAGCAGGGTATGTGTTAGCAATATTCTAAGTATGGATGAATGGTAGACTTATAGATATGTATGATAGATTCTAGAGAGAAAAATTGTCTTGCCTGAAACAGTGAACCAATTTTCTTAGTATCTGACCTAGCAATGGATTTGAAAAAAAAAAAACTATTAAAAAGCAACACAATTTACCCATTATTAGCAAACAGTTACCCACAACTTGAAAAAAACCCTGGTGTTTTATACTTTCATGTCTGTGACTTGCTTATACAAGATATGACCAAACATTAAAGATTTCTTTTATGTGTAAGCCCCTCATGTCACAGGTGAAACATTTGGTAACACAACATACTTACATTTTCTGGGTCACTTCGATGTGGTGCAATGTTTAGCAAACTTGTCTCATTAAATCAATTAAAACTGAAAGTAATTTTGATCCTCACTGGGTGCCTCATACTTTCAGTCATGTGCAACATCTAAGCCACACTTAGAAAAATTACCATACTTACATTTTCTGCTATATATCTTGAGATTGATTGATTCATTTTTCTATAGTTTATCAACCTTTTGCAGGTCATTTAATGCCAGGAAATATTTTTAAATTGTAAGAATTTTCTTTTTGGAGACAATGGTTTAGTGACACAATTCTTACTAATTAACCCATAGATGTAGGGAGAAGAGGTGGATTAATACCATTCCCAAGGGTATATGCACATAAGTGAATATAATGAAGCCAACAGAAATTGGAACTCAACCCTCAGATTCATTCCAAGCCATAAACATTACACCACCTGCACATCCAAGCTTAGAGCACCTGGTATTCTCAAGCAGTCATCCATCTAGGTACTGACCAGGCTCAACATTGCTTAACTTCTTGATAAAATCCACCACACCAAAAAATATAAACCAAAAAAAAAAATAAAATAAACATGAATATTATGGATATCTCAACTTTAGTAAATTTCTCACTATTGTAACATAACTTCCCTGTGCCTTTTTGGCAAATAATTTTATGGCAATTGTTTTGATGAGCTTTCCTTTTTTGCACCATGATTTCATGAATTTAAGCCCTATACTAGATTGGTTGCTTAGTTGCATACTGTTGAAATTTCTTGTTGCAACCTTCTTGTTCCCAGACTTCATGAGTTCAAGCGCCCTATGAGGCTGGCATCCAGCTCTCACCCCTTCACTGTCGAAACTCCTGAATGTAGCCATCTCTTCTACTCCAATAGCTTCATGTCCCGCATCTCTCGCCTGTAGAACTCCCTTCCCTATTTCAGTTTCCCTGAGAGCTATAATCTCCAACTATTCAAATGTAATGTCAATCGACATCTCTAGTTGCCTTGATCTATCCACTACCCTTCTCCTCATCCTTTCCTCTATCACTCCTATCTGATTTTGCCCCAAATTTTCTGTAACCCCTTGCATCCTAGTGGCTTCCCGCCTTGCTTGGGGGTGAAACGCTTAAAAAAAAAAAAAAAAAAAAAAAAAAAAATATAATTGATTTAAATAGTTACTTCTCTCATGCTTTTCACTTATGGAAGTCTCTTCCAGCTTCCTGCCAACTACAATCTTCAAACATTTAAATGCAATGTCAATTGTCATCTTTCATCTCCCTGAATCTTGTTCTTTTATTGTCTTCTGTTCCTTTCAATCACAGTAAACTCTTGCATCTTAGATACTTTTATCACTTTGCTTGGGGTGAAATGATAAAAACCCCCCCCACAAAAAACGTTTATAGCCAGACTAATTTCATCAGTTTTGTTATTATCATGTTTCAGGTGTTGGGAATCCAGCCTTCTTCAGGTGTCTGATGATCCAGATATCTTTATTTATTTAATCATTGTGAAAGGTTGTTCTCATCCCACTGTATATGTCTTGAGATTTTTTTAGTATTGCTCAGTTATTGCATGCTATGTTTCCATTGTATCTAGATCCTTACTTTACAATAACCGAGAGGACTATGGCATTAGTTCATGCATTTGGTGTCATAGTGATTTAGAGTTCAAATTCTGGGATGAGTAGTAGAAACTCGGAGTCAGTGGGAACAAGATTATCACTAACTGAGCAGTACTAATGAAGAACAAGATATCGCAAGATATATACAAGTACTGTCTCAGTGGCTTTAATGCATTGCTTGGGATGAACTTAATTGAAAAAAAATAAATAGATTAACAAAAAATTACCTGGAAGTTACCTGGATTAAAAGTCACCTGCAGAATGCCAGAGGGCACAATGATTGAAATGTTACATTAACCCATTAACTGCCAAATTTTTTTAATGCGCATTTTTGGCCCAGACAGGTGTCTTAGGAGTTTATTTATTCCTTATGTTTAATTTCTGTAGTTACCATTGTCGTTTTTATAGAAACTAGAACATCAAATATATATATGTGTATAAAACATCAAAAAAATAATATTGATTAGAAATAAAAAAATTCTTTTCAAAATAGTCATTATTTATCTACCTGTGAAAAGTAAAATTATGACAGAAAGTGTCTTCTTATGGCTAATAATAAAAACTTTAAAAGCTAAGTATTGTAAAATATACCTCTTCAAATGCAATGTATGTAAGCAATTCAATGTAAATACAAGGAATAACATGTAGTGAGTTTAATTTTAACAGATCCCCAAATGAGGCTCATGGCAGGTAATGGGTTAAAAGATGAGAATATCAGTTTAAATGTAAATAATTTCTCATACCAGAAATTCATTCTTTTTTCATGTTTTTATGATATTTGCTGTTTTTGCTATTAGCTTAACATTATATAGACAATAAAATTTTGTATCTTAGATAAAGTACTTATGAGATTTCTCAGACGTTTTCATCTTTATGCATGACCGTACATACTATTAGCTTCTCCCTGTACATAGTTGTTTCCTAAAACACCACAAACTTAACAGCACTCTGGAGGTTTCTGTGCTCAGTCAAGCGGTAGCAGACCATAAGGACATTCCATAACTGGAAAATAGCATTGCTAATGTTTTAGCTTATATTCCAGAAAAATTGGCATCATAGTTGATCTCTTCAAGTATATGTAGCCAGGAATTTTACTTTTGGGTTTTGGGGATATCTTATTTTTTAGGACAATATTCATCAACAGAGCCATATCTTGTTTTCCCTCTACCATCTTTGTGACAAATTTGTTATGCTTTCACTGCCTTATAGACTTGTAGACATTAAACAATCTCTGTTTTCTGATTTTAAAATTCAATCCCTTAATATCTTAATACTTGAAAAGGCAACAGAATATATACCATTACTTTTCCCAAGAACAATCTTGGCAATTCAAAAAGATGAAAGTAAATGAAGCTGTGGATAACTGATTGTAAAAGAATGTTACTTCTAGAGGAAGGCAATCATGTCTATCCACAGATTCCTTTTCTTTATTATCGGTGAATTGCTTTGCTCTCTCCAGGTTCTAGAATCCTTCTCCAAGACTGATTGCCAACTAAGGCTAGAGAGTCAAGACTATACTAATGCTTAAACCAACAGTTGAGAGAAAAAGAGACAGATGCTTGCTTTTTCTGAAGAGTATTTGTACAAACATGAATGTTACAGACTAGCCCGGAATTTGAACTTGGTTTGCCGCTTCAACTTTCTATGCTGATTCCCGCTATCTGGACATCCTAGGACAAGAATACTAATCCAAGGAACTCATGGAACTAGGATAATTATACATCACAGAATATCACCATGTGTTTAATGTGCTAAATTTGTTAACTGCCAATAATGTAATTTAGAATGGAACATTATGCGTTACTCAGGGATGAGTAATGTTAAGTGTACTTAAATTGATATGTGACTCTCATTTCATAAAGAAAATTCCTAAGTGGAAAGAGAATGAATGAATGAATGAATGAATGAATGAAGGTGAACAAATGAGAGAGAGAGAGAGAAAACGAAAGCGTGTGTGAGAGAGAGAGAAAACGAAAGCGTGTGTGAGAGAGAGAGAAAACGAAAGCGTGTGAGAGAGAGAGAGAAAACGAAAGCGTGTGAGAGAGAGAGAGAGAAAACGAAAGTGTGAGAGAGAGAGAGAGAGAGAAAACGAAAGCGTGTGAGAGAGAGAGAGAAAATGAAAGCGTGTGAGAGAGAGAGAAAACGAAAGCGTGTGAGAGAGAGAAAACGAAAGCGTGTGAGAGAGAGAGAGAGGAAAACGAAAGGGGAGAGAGAGGAAAACGAAAGGGGGAGAGAGGAAAACGAAAGGGGGAGAGAGAGGAAAACGAGGGGGGAGAGAGAGAGAAAACGAAAGGGGGAGAGAGAGAGAGAAAACGAAAGGGGGGTGGAGAGAGAGAGAGAAAACGAAGGGGGGGAGAGAGAGAGAAACGAAAGGGGGTGAGAGAGAGAGAAAACGAAAGGGGGTGAGAGAGAGAGAAAAACGAAAGGGGGAGAGAGAGAGAGAGAAAACGAAAGGGGGTGAGAGAGAGAGAGAAACGAAAAGAGGTGAGAGAGAGAGAGAAAACGAAAGGGGGAGAGAGAAAACGAAAGGGAAAGGGAAAACAAAAGAGAGAGAGAGAGAAAACGAAAGGGGGTGAGAGAGAGAGAAAATGAAAGGGAGAGAGAGAAAATGAAAGGGGGAGAGAGAGAGAAACGAAAGGGAAGAGAGAGAGAGAGAAAACGAAAGGGAGAGAGAGAGAAAACGAAAGGGAGAGAGAGAGAGAGAGAAAACGAAAGGGGAGAGAGAGAGAGAGAAAACGAACGGGAGAGAGAGAGAGAGAGAAAACGAACGGGAGAGAGAGAGAGAGAGAAAACGAACGGGAGAGAGAGAGAGAGAGAAAACGAACGGGAGAGAGAGAGAGAAAGAAAAGAGAAAAGAGGAGAGAGAGAGAGAGAAAACGAAAGGGAGAGAGAGAGAGAGAGAGAAAACGAAAGGAAAGGAGAGAGAGAAAACGAAAGGAAAGGAGAGAGAGAAAACGAAAGGGGGGAGAGAGAGAGAAAACGAAAGGGGGGAGAGAGAGAGAAACGAAAGGGGGGAGAGAGAGAGAAAACGAAAGGGGGAGAGAGAGAGAAAACGAAAGGGAGAGAGAGAGAGAAAACGAAAGGGAGAGAGAAAGAGAAAGTGAAAGAAAGAATACATGAGTGAGAGAAAGAGAATGAAAGTGAGATTAAATAATGACCAGACTAGGGAAGAGAGATAAATAAGACATAATTGGGTGATAAGTGAGTAGAAAGAGTTGAAAGAAAATTGCATTGAAGAGAATGGCAGGATAAGAAAGAGAGGAAAACAAAGTAATGGGTGAAAGGAATGATGAGAAATACAAAGTAGGAGAAATGAAGAGAGAAAGCAAGGAAGAGCAAAATAAAGAAAGAAGCAAGAAACATCAAATTGGAAGGTGAGAGGATAAAGAGAACAAGGGAAAAAAATACATAAAAAGAAAGTAAAGAGAAAGAAAAACAAAATTATTAAAATTATAAGTAAAAAAATTTAAAGCAAGATAGACTATGCCCAATTTAACAAACTCTAGGAATTTTGCATATCCGCCATTTTCATGAATATTTTATCATCCGTTAACTGTTAATCTTTTCACCTGCCAAACCACTATGGCATGAGGTACCTCAATATCAAAATATAGGTGGTACCCTCCATCCAAAAAAAAAAAGGACCTTGAAGAATGAAAGACACAGGAAATAGCCTGAAAACTAGATGAAGAGAGACAAGTAGGGAAAAAATATCAAGAGGAAAAATAAACAGAAAAAAAGGGGGAAAAAGGTACAACATGGGAGAGACATTTGCAAAAAAAATGTGTGTGTAGGGAATGGTGAAAGTGTGTTACAAAGACAAATCAATGTTACCAATTTGTAATTGCGGACTATTATTTGATCCTGAATATTGCATCAAAGCAAAAGTCATTCTGCTGAATTCATATATATGTTGGTTTCAATCTGCATGGGACAAAAAAAAAAACAAACAAAAAAAAACACTAGCTCCTCCCCATTTTATAGGCAGAAGCACACAAATGCATGTTGGGATTTTTTCTTATCCAATAAAATAGGCCAATTCTAGGTTTCATCTGACTGAGGCCAGGTCTGTCTTGAAGTCAGAACACTACGTTCGCTTGTCCAAACTTGCTTTTGTGCATCAACCACAATTCTTAGTTTGTGAACTTCCTGCCATATGACTATTGCCTTGCAATTCATAGAAAAATCTATAGACAGAAGCTATAGAGAGCCATGATCATCCTGAAGAGACATGGCATACATGTAATAGTTTACATTATTGTAATTGTAATGAAAACTAATTTGATTTCAAGAGTGACCAATACAGAAATAATACTCCAGTCTACATGACTGATTAGTCCATAAAACCATCTCACCTACAGTCATAGCAGAGGGTGTGGAGACAGTGTTGTGAGCAGAGTATGGATAATTGCAACCGGGTTTGTTCCAATTGTGATATTTTCAATACTATATTGTCAGTACTGTGCAGCATTGGTCAGCGACAAAGCAGATAATAATGCAGGTCAGGTTTTAAGATTGGAAATAATAGCTGTGTACTTTTAGTATTGCCTCACAGACAGAAGCATAGGAAGATCATCAGTTACTGAGCAATACAGGATATTTATGACTGCTGTATATAGAACACAATTTAACTATATACACACACACACACACATATATATATATATATGTGTTTATTTATTTTATAATAAAAGAAAGAACAGTATGATATATAATCTGGTGTTCTTATTAATATTTTTTCTAAAACGGTGCTCAATGCAAATTTACAGAGCATAAATATTATAAATTAACTGATTTAAAAATAATGGTTCCATCGCTACACAGGAATTACCAAAATTCGCTTGAAAATAAAACAGAACTAGGGCCTTTAATTTAATTATATAATTGAATTTGAAGTTTTTAGTTTTTGTTTTTGAAACAGGGTCATTCTTGTGTAGCGATGGAACCATATTTTTAATTCAGTTATATTTATATATACGGACATGAAGTTACCATACAAAAATGCATATTTGTTTTGATGTTAATTACATCTCATCAGGTGATCCACCTGATGAGATGCTTGAATTAACATCAAACAAAATGCATTTTTGTAGTGGTAACTTCTATGTCCGTATGTAATAACTTATAATAAATAAATATTGCTCTACTTTTTGTATTGAGCCCTTTTTTTAAATTAATGCTATGAACATTTGAATTTATATCCTTTTCATTCTCTTTACATTTGGATATATATGCAGAGTGTCCATAAAGTCTGTGTGCAATTTAAAATACTTAATACAAAACTGCCTTATTCACTAAATGAGTACAGGTTCCTGAATTTCTCCATGAGTTGAATGAACTCAATTTTTTCACTGAATTACTTCTTTTTATAAAATGTTTGCATTATGCATTTGACTTGGTGGATGAAACTTAATTTATGGTAAAGGCAATTTTAGATGTTTCCTTATATGGAAACATTTAGTTTTCATTGACCAAGCAGCCTAGAATTACTTTTGGTTGAAATTTATAAGATCTTCATCCTAAAACCATTTTTCAGGAAAATTGTTTTTCTCAAATTCATTTGCTGTCATCACTCTTTCCAGTACAGATAACCTTTCACCTGAAAGCATGTAATGTTAAAATTTTGATAAAGATAACGATTCAAGCCACATGTATTATCTGTTAGTTGTTGCTGTTGAAAATCCTCAATTGATGTCTTATTTGGTACAGATCTTTATTTGTGATTTTGTAGTGCTAGGCCACTTAGCACAAAGAAAATGGTCCTTGCTAAGACCTACAGGTTTCATTTGTTCAAAGCTATTTTTAATCATTGATCTTATATAGTGGTTATATACGGTTTAGCTATTTCGGAACTGGTTTGGTGCCATAAAGAAATTTTAAAAAAAAAATGTCACCAATGTAAAAAATTTAGAAAGCCCTGTGTTAGACTACTTATCAAGAGCTAAGTGTGTTTAATTGCTTTATATATAATTTAATTTTATTTTTCAATTACAAGACGTTGGCAAATGACCAAAAATATTTGCTTATCAGTCCAAAACAAATGCAATCAAAGAAGGAAAGAAAAAAGCAATAAGTAAATCCTAAATTCTCAACCAAAATTCTTACTTGGTGCATGAAATTCAGACATATTTGGCAAGGTTCTTTCAAAAAGAAATGTCTATCTCTTCAGCTAGCAAATATGGTGTGCGGTCGATAAAACCTTGTCACGTAACATATAAAGTATTTATGAACTAGTCTCAGGTAAATGGAAGCCAGTTTTCTTCATAAATTATGGTCAGTTTTGGTCAGTTCTATGACAGTTAGGGCTGTATTGAGGATGATTTTTATATTACTGTGTTTTTCCTTTCTCTCACTTTCCTGTCTTGCTCGACATTTTCACTAAGTATCTTCTATTGATTGCAAGACTACCGATCTGATACAATTGTATCATCCCAATTTTAGTACTGACCTACTTTTTGTCTGATACATATATAACTTCTGTTACAGATTTTTATATACATATGAATACACAAATTGAGATCAGTAAATTTGTAACGTGACATGCAGATATACTCGCTGAATTTTGATTGAAAAACTTCACTGTATAATGTTCAGTGATGCAGATAAGTGAAATGACAAGTAATTTTTTTTTCTACTGATAGTTCACCTGGGGTAGAGGGTTATTGGGTGAGATTATTGTAAGAAAGGAAGAAGAAGGAAGTAAGAGGTGCATATGTAGATATATAGAAAAAATAACTATTTAAACTATTTGTATTATTAAGAATGTTGTCTTCATCTTTATTGCCATATTCATAAAGTTTCAGCCGTTGTACATTCCAGCCTTCTTCAGATGATATACAATGGAATTTCAAACTGAACCAAGGACACATGACCCAGTGGATAAAAGCATTGATTGAAGTAATCAAGTGACTTGACCCAAAGAGTTGTGAGTTCAATACCTGGCCACAGCAGAGGTGGACAAAAACTTGGAGAGTTTAGTTACTAAAAGAAGATAACGGAAACTGAAATATCCAGGAAAGACATGAACTAAACAATCTACCCCGGTCAATGCAATAAAGTGTGTGGTTTGAAATTCCAACGTCTATCAACTGAAAAAGGCCAAAGTTTACAATGTCCAAAACATAAATATAACAACAAAGATGAGGACAACAGTCCAAACAATGTAAATAAGGTAAATAGTTACAATACCAGATTTTAAAAATATAGACATATGTAGAAGGGATATTGGTGGACTCTGAGATCAAGACTGTAGTTATCAGGGAAGCATTCTCTCGGGAGTTTGTTCCACAAAGTAACTCTTCCAGGAAAAAAAAGCTGGCTGAGTGGAAGTTGCTTTTTATCAAGGGAACACAAAAGGAATTGGAATGTTTTACCATCATGAACATGGCATGGCAAGTACTTGCTGTGAATGTTTGAGTTGGTGGCATTAAGTAAAGTTGTCCAGTCATCTAGCATAGTAATAATTATAGTAGTGAAAAGCTGATAACTGTTTCATCTGGGGGACAAGAATAGAAAATAATTAAACCACAGGGGGCCGTATAAGCACTTTTGAACTCTGTCAAGGCTAGAAAGTGAAGATTGAGAAGTACCAGCCCAGCAGTACTCCATTCTTAGTTATTTCATTTGTTAGATATTTTCTGAAGTAATACAATGAACGTACCATTTCAAAACATCTTTTGTGATTACACAAATAGATGCACTGGGACTGACCTTTGGCCCCTGGTAGGAGCCACTTTGAGGGTATGATCTCTCATCAAGATTTATAAGTTTAGTTTTGAATGCATTAAATTATACCAGCTTGTCTTTTATCCATAGAGCTGTGAGAGTTGTCAGAAAAGAGATGCACTGCCAGGCACTTATCAAGAAATTTAGAGGTATATCCATATCTGTGGTACCATCTGCATATATTATGTACAATAAACATGTTTTTTTAATAAAATAAATGCTTTCTTTATCAGTAGGCTACAGTCTTATTGATGCAATTGTGTTTGTTTTATATATATATATATATATATATATATATATATATATATATATAAAACGTACATACACACTAGTTTAAAGGATGAAATATGTGCAAAGTTTTAAGCTTTCAAATGCTAACTGAACCTCCAGCCCCAAACTAAAGGGACCTCTGGTTCAGCTTAGAAAAGAGCAATAATAATTTTGAAGAAATAACTTTGAATTCTTCAATTCACTCCACGGAACTTCAAAATGCCATGTAACACCAATTTGGGCCATAAGTCCAATTCTGGCTGAAAGTCTGATTTGGACCAAAATTTTAATTCAGGTCGAAAATTGATTTCTTCATATCAAAACTCTGCAAAACTTCAAAACCTCACATCATGAAAGTTCTCGCTTAAACTCTTATTCCTTGGGATTTTGAAGAAATAAAATTGATTTCCTCAATTCACAAAGATTTGGAGATATTTTAAACTT